GAGAGACAGAGAGAGAGAGAGAGAGACAGAGAGAGAGAGAGAGAGAGAGAGAGAGAGAGAGAGACAGAGAGAGAGAGAGACAGAGAGAGAGAGAGAGAGAGAGAGAGAGAGAGAGACAGACAGGCCTGCAGAGCTCACTCTCAGTAACTTCCTGTGGGTGTGGCTCCAAATGTCATTTTGTGAGAAATCTCATCCCAATGTGGTTTTTTTTTTTTTGCAGTAATTTCATTTGCATGGATGTTAAGCTGCTCGACTCCTCTAACAGGACATCTTTCAGGAGGAAATTGGATTTGAAAGATGAAACCGAGTTAGTAACACACTTAAAAAAGGAGCAGTGTGTAGAGTTTAGTGGCCTCTAGCAGTCAGGTCGCAGGTTGCAACCCTGTCTGACCACATGGGAATGAGTGTGTAACACCTCCATTACCCTCCTTACAGCCTTCAAACATCACATCCTTTCATTTTTTCTGGCACAAAATAATGACCAATAAAGGTCAATGCATAAGAAGAAGAGGTTTTAAAGACGATATAAACTGATGGAATAAAAATGTATAGAAACTGTAGATGTAGTGTGTTAGAAATGGAAATATTTACAGAATATTAACCTTTCTTGTCGGAGGAACTTCAGTAGTCCCTATCTAGAGCCCGTGTTTCGATTATTAGATCTCTTCCAGAGCTTTCAGCAGCATGGCCTTCATTAGCAGAATGGAGCTCAACTGTCACGTCCATGTATAAATAAATACTTTATTAATAAATATAACAATTATGATATAAAATACATACATACATACACATATATATATATACAATACATTACATTTCATGGTCATAAAACATCATTCATTAACCGCTAGCTGTTCATAATCACTTTAAAATCTTTATGTGTGCTTACAACTACGAGTTATAAACCATCATTTTAATTGTTTATATTCTTATATTAATGTGACATAGGAGGGGTTGCCAGAGAGTTTGTCATTTAGGGCGTGATAAAGAAGATCTCTGATGTTACCGGGGTCCATTTGGGCCCAGAACCAGCAGGCACTAGCACAGAACCCAGAACCAGCACTAGGTTCACGTGGGGTAATCAGAGGAGGGGGTCCCACGGCTCCAAGACCCGTCTTCAAACAGCCCGGCCTCACCCTCAGAAATGTGGGCGTCGTCTGGATGAGCTGTCTGCCTGCTCCCAGAGTCAGACACCTAAACACAACACACACATACACACACACACACACACACACACACACATAAATAGCTATATAAACACACCCTCATGCCTATTAAACACTTACACTCTCTAATGCATTCATAAACACACACCAGAACACACATAACACGCCTCGCAGGCCTGCAGACACTGACATGCACACACAAAGAGACACGCAGAGCCACAATGAGGCGTATTTACACTCTGACGCAGGTGTTCTGAGCACTGTTTGTATTAATGGGAAGGTGTTTGGCCCCTTTGATAAGGACAGTTAGTCGATCATTGCCATGTGGCACAGTGTTAACCTCTGTTAGCAGCAACACTGTCAGACATGTGTCCAAAAGAGACGTTCTTCTGACCCCTAGTGTTGTCATAAAGAACCAACAGCTGATGGTTTTATTCCTGTTTTTAATATGAGATTTTAGTTGTTTTTCTTTTCCTGTAAAGCTTTTTTAAGTGTTGAACGTCACATTATAATTTACTATAACGATTATAAGTCATATGTTTACAACTGCAATCTACAGTACACATATTTTATCCATTAGCTGACATGTATTGTTATTGTTTTTATAAATAAATCAAGTGTATTTGTTAAAGCCCACTATCACATATATTGTCTCAGTGGATCCCGCACCCAGAACAAGCTCTCTGAAAAACAATCAGACAATAAAAAGTAGCCTTTGGTGATATTTATGTTTTATTTAAATTAAAAGATTTAACCGTATCCGTATGGTCTGTAAGGGTCAACACTGATTAGATAAACACAAATTAAATAAACAAAAAAGCTGACATTATGTAGTGCTTTTTGTGCAACATCATCCTTTATCAGGATGAGCAACAGACGTTTTATGCAGGTAAAAATGCAGATATCGTTGTTCTAAACTCATAAACAATAAATTAAATGATTCTGCGAACAGACAGACGTGTGTCTTTTTCTTGCAGAGATTTAAGGGAGCTGAGCCGCAGGAGCTCACCCTGGTTGCTGGAGCTGAACTTGACTCCAACCAGCAGTTCTCCTCCGTCCTGCTCCACAGCGCCTCCCTCTGGTTCCTCAGTCTGAGTGACACAGGAAATACAAGGATCAATCAATCAATCAATCAATCAATCAATCAATCAATCAATCAATCAATCAAACTGTTTTTATGTAGCACA